GCGGCGCTGCGGCTGCTGGTGGGCGCGCCCGTGGCGCTGCCTGGGCCGCTCGCCCCGCCCTCCGAGCGCGGCCTCGTCGCCGCCGGGCTGCTCTTCAGCATCGTGTTCGCCGCGCTGGTGCAGGGCGCGCTCGTCGACCTCGTCGCCAACCCGCGCCGCCGCCCGGACATCGACACGCTGCAGCAGGTCGGCGCAACACACGCGCGCTCTCTATGTGCGTTCTGTGCTTTTTTCCCAGCCGGCGGCCGGTCACTCTTTACGTCCCGATGAGACGCATATTCGGCCGTACACTGGACACCAACGCACTACTGATCTGGGATTAGCAGAACGCGAGACCTTCCGAGATAGCACATACATGAGAGACAAGGGACCAACGACTATTGCCATAGTGGGACTCGAACCAGCGACCCTGCGGACCGAAGCGCTGTGTCGTTCCATTTCAATAATTTTCCTTTAGATTTATTTAATTCAGATCATCCAAATAAGATTGGTGAAGTTCAAAGTTGATTGATTTCAGTTTTAATGATTTTTTTTAATCGTAGGAAGTGATTGAAAGAGGTGTTGCTTTATTAATTACTGATACAAATAATTTTAAAACCATTATATATATATACCTATATACATATATATACCTATATACATATATATATACCTATATATATATATATATATATATATATATATATATATATATATACCTACCTATACACCAACGGTTGTCAGTGGCGTGTTTACCTTTAAGCTAAGTATGAAACTTTTCGGCCTTCAGAGACCACGGGGCCTAAAAAATGTTTAAACCAATGTGTAAATTTACTAAAAAATATGAAAATAGTTTACTTGTTATTTCATTGCAAATTTCAGACGTTGGTTTTTTTTCTAAAAGTCATACTGGACGTTATCTCTCTGATTCTTAGTTTTACTTTGCAGAATCTTCTGCTCCGTGTTTAAGGCCACAGAAAAGGTTTTACAAATGTACTTTTTCATCGATTCCACTACTATATTTCCATATTTTGAAACAATTCCCAGATGTCCCTAGCAAGTGCATCATAACTGTTTTACGAAAAAACCAATTGTACAGTTTTCTAAGACGGTCTCTTAATGCATTACTGAAGTTTATATACGTGGATGTTACGGAGTAAAAATATACATTTGTTCGAGTTAAGTCTTGAAAAGAATAATTGGGGGATATTGTGTCGGTTACCATGGACGACAGTTTGTTGAGAAAGAGAGAGTGAGAGGGAGACTCTGGTTTGCTAGAGAGTATGGACGTCTGAATGTAGGTTGGGAATTTTTGGTTTCAAAACCGAATTAGTAGAGACATCAAGATATTGGAAGTTTGACGAAACATTGGGGAAGGTTCTCCAACAAAAATTAATCGGTGTTTCTATAGTAAGGAACCAGATATTCGGGCAAGTGGAGATGATAACATTTGCCGATTGATTCTGATTTCAAGAATTCTCGAATAATATATTTGAACTTATAGTTAACCTCAAGAGAGGCAATGTACAGCGACGTTTGATGCGTGGCAATACAGCTGCAGCTGAATTTATTGAGTTCAAACGATGGCGATCGATGAGTGCATACGCTGTTGCGGAAACATTGAACATTCTGTAGGTTCGTAGCAGTGGATAACTTCTAATCTGATCCCATTGCGCGCAGCTGGACGAGTCGCAGCTCCCAATCGCCACGTCGGACGACGAGTTTCTGGACACCTTCAGCGGGCCCGACTCCGCGCTGTGGCAGCGGCTGGCGCGCCGCTTGTTCCTGTATTCTCCGCCTGACGGCCCCTCGGCTCCCGCGCCAACCACCCCCACACCCTCCACCACCACTGCGGGCGCTGACCATTGCGCGGGGGTGAGTTGCTGCGTTACAGTTATTCCAGGCACTCGGGCTCCTTTCATATTTTCCTCCTGAAGCTTACAGACGCTTCTTAATGATAAATAATGAACTTAAAGCTGTGAGTGGGCCGATAACTTTAAGAACATTAGACAGAAAATAATCATTGATAATACCACGAGTGCTTTGGAAATTGTTGATAAATTCCCAACTCGCGAAGCGAGGAGGGGATTTCTCAGGGAATTTCCAAAGCACGGGTGGCACTTAGTTGTAGTGGTAGTAGTTAGTGGCATTTAGTAGTACTTTCCCACGAATTATTTTATGTCCAACGGAGTTCCGAATTGCGCGAAATATTGAAAATAACTCAAAGCTAGTATGTTAAATTCACATACAACACAGCGATCGATGCAGCATACCGCCTCCTAAGATAGATAACTCACAGTTTATGATTGGCCAGAAGGAAAAAGCAGTAAGAAAAAGTGGATAGAAAAGGCGATAAACCTTTTGAGATACACCGCCCTGGATGGGGTATTTTGTATGTATAGTTAAACACTATTGGTTTTAATTTCACGAGTGAAATAGTCATTACTGTTATCATTATAAATCAGCAAACTCTGTATTTTGCTCAATCCAACATTATGATAACAAAAAAATAAAATAAAATCTTTAAGCCCATTTCACTCGTTGCTCCCTGATCTTTCTTTTTTCCATTTTCTTTCTTTTTTTCTTTTCTTTTTTCTTTCTTTTTTCATTCTTTCTTATTTCATTCTTTCTTTTTTCATTCCTTCTTCTTTCTTTTTTCTTTCTTCTTTCTTTTTTCTTTCTTTCTTTCTTTCTTTCTTTCCCTTTCCTTATCTTTCTAAGTTTTCTTTCTCTTTCCCTCTTACGCATTTATCTTTCCTTTTCTTTCTCTTCGTCCCTGTCCCCCGTTTCTTCACCTGGCCCTTTCTGTCTCTCTCACTTTCTGCCTCTTGCTTTCCCTTTCGCATTCTTCCTTGTTCCGCTAGGATCTCGCCGTGGCCGGCGTGCGCAGGTGGCGAGCGACGCGGAGTACACGGGGGACTTCGTGCGGCGCGTGGCGGCCGGGCGCTGCGCGGCGCTGCTGAGCGAGGTGGCTGCGCGCCGCACGCTGCGCGCGGACGCGGCGCTGGCCGCCCGCCTGCACCTGGCCGCCGCCTGCCCGCGCGTCTACTTCGAGGCGTACGCCACGCCCTTCGCCTCCCCGCTGCGCCGCCCCGTCGGCCGCGTCGTGGCGCGCGCGCTCGAGGCCGGCCTGCTCGCCAAGTGGTGCGCACACGTCGCTTTTTAATTACCTTTTTATTTTCATTTCCTTTTTTTTATTTCATTTTTTTAATATTTTTAATACCTAAATGGCCCTCTGAGCTTAATGCAAGAAATGTTAAGGTCCATTCACAATGCACTAAGCATAAGACATTGACGTAAACATTAACATAAGTGATAGACTGAAGTATTCATAATGTCTAACGTAAACGCAACCCAAATAAGACGTTTTATTGGCACTGAGAAATTCTAGTTTAATCTTGGTTGGATGTGAGAATAGATTTCGAGGTGTTGACTGTCCATGACTCACGGAATATACCGTTAGTTCGTCTATCGACTTCGATCGTATTTCGATACTGGATTTTGAAGTAACATTCTGTGATTTGGTCATTTTTTATGTCTTAAGCATAAGCACAGAAGCTTGAAGCTTGCAAGCTTTTAATTTAACGTCTTACGTGTTATGCTTATTTCATTGCGAACGCTTCAAGATTCTGTGCTTATGCTTACGGAAGACATAAGAAATGAACCAATCACAGAACAGAACCTCAAAATCGATAATCGAAAAAGGAGCGAACTCGGGAGAAGAACTAACGACATATGTGACAGAGAGTTGATATCTTGAAATCGATTCTCACATCCAACCAGCAAGTCTCACAGCCAATAGAAACTTATTTTGCTCACGTTTATGTTAGGCATTGTGAATACTTCAGTCCATCGCTTATGTTAATGTTTATGTCTACGCGCTATGCTTATGTGTACGTTTGCATTGTGGATGGGCCTTAACTGTATTCCGCAATGTGCGGGCGCGCAGGTACGCAGACCGTGTGCTGCGCGGGCCGGCCGCCGCCGCGGCGTCCCCGGGCCAAGGCGCGGCGCGGCCCTTCCGCTTCGCCGACCTCGCCTACTACTTCGTGCTGTACCTCCTGGGCGTCGCCGGCGCCGCGCTGTGCTTCGTGGCGGAGGTCGTGACGGCCCGCGTGCACCGCCTCGCCGCCGCCCCACCCCCTCTCACCATCGGCCC